TTTTTTTACTTAATTTTTAAGTTCAACATCACGTTTTTGCAATAAAGACAAACCAAAGATTAAAATAAAAGGCTACTATATCTTAAAATACTGATTAACACATATGTTTGTTCATAGATATCAAGGAAGCATATTTCCTAATATAATAATTATAAATTTGAATATATGAATTTGTATTAATCATTAGTTCATTAATTACTTTTTGTACAGTTTATAATTTTACGGAAATATTATAGGATATATATCATGAAGAAACAGAAAATAATATTATTACATCGTAATAAAGGAATTAAAATTTTAATGCAAATTTTAAAGTAATAATACATAATAATTTTTTATGAATTTAAATAATTGTTCCTCTCTCTAATATATTCCTCTAATTGTTCCTCTAATTGTTCCTCTCTCTAATATTTTCATGAAATATATTTCATATCATCGCAAATAGATATGAGGAATCAATTTTATAATAAATAAATATATTCACTCACCGATTACTGCATAATGTATTCACTTTATCACTTTTATTACATTTTGCCAGCATCACCTGAAAAAGAGAGAGAGATTTAAATATTATAGTTAATTTTTTGTTTTCGTTTCTTTATTAAAAAATAATTTTTGTTTAGTACATATGTACACACACACACACGCACGCACGCGCGCACACACACACACACACACATATATATATATATATATATATATATATATATATATATATAATGTGTATGTACATTTTTTCGTGACATATAACGACTTAGCTTTACTTTCTATTTAAATTTGGATTAATTTATACACAATTATATACATATTTGTATCTAAAAAATATAAAATAAATAACATAAAGAATAAATAATATTTTAAGATTATAAATATATTCAATAGAATATAAATATTTTACAATCTTTTTAATGTAAAATAAATATTAACATTGTATGAAAATCTCGATATAAAAATTACAATTAATTGAAGATTATATATCAAATACTCATATATAATTCAGCATACATTATATATAATTCAGTTCACTGTAGATAAAAAATAAATTATGATTAAAATAAGCAAAATAAGAAGAAGATTTCTGTTAAATCATAAAAGAAAAAAATATAATACATGAAAAATATAATATAACATAGAATACCTAAAATATAACAAAAAATGTAAATATAAAATATCAAAAAAGATAAAAAAATATAAAAACATATAATACAAAAAAAATTTTTTAAATATATTAATTACTTACTAATTACTAATGATTATTCTATGATTGTAGGAATATTTCTTTGATCACTGTGACAAATATCGATAAGAAATAAATTGTGAAACATAGATAATTACAATCACCTGGATTAATAATGCGATGTAATGATATTCCAACACTCTTTATTAATACGACACTCTCATTATTTATTCACACGCACGAGTCGCTTTGAAAAGTGCGCAGAAATACGGAACATCGAGCAACTCAGCTGATCAAGAAATCCCATATTAATTAATCATACTAATTAACCACCAAAGACGCTTGCTTCATTTAACACAACCGATACTCTATCGTACTGTGAGCGAGTTGAAAAGTTGCGGACAAAAGTTGAAAATAAGAAGTATCGACGGATATACGCTTTATTATGAAAATATGTAATAATTATTACATAACAATCGCGGATTTTTTTTATTCAGCACGAATGGCGGACGACACATAAAATATGCAATTAATATATAATATAATTAATAAATATATAATTAATACATAATATAAATATATAATTAATAAATATAAATATTATTAGACACAAGATTCTATATTCTAAAAAAATATGAAAAAATGCATGTACTTTTAAAATGCGAAGACATTACAAAAAAAGATACGATTAATCGCAATTATGCGAATTATTGTCATAATCTGGACTCCGATAATTGCTCTATAGTATTCGTTAATTCGCATATTTATTCGTATATGCAATTTATGATTGAAAATGCATTACGTAATATCAAACAATGCGCTTATTTCCGATGAATGATAATTAAAGCTTCAATATCACGTTTCATTTGATACTACTTGATTTAGAAGATTTACGTAGAAATGTAGAATTTCTTCCCTGATTAATTGCGATAGTCCGTAACAGAATTAATGACAAGAATGTGATTTTATTCTATTCTAATTTTATTTATTTTTTAATTTTTTTAACTTACCTATTCCAGAAATTTGAAAAATACTATAGAGTGTTTTTCAACGAAGGGACGACGTAATGAATCACAATTGTTCCGATTAACAGCAAGAAATAATCACGAAACACTTTTCTCTCGACATCGCGTCGCGTCGCGGCGGGAAACATGGCGACTGATACAAATATGCGATTCTAAGCGAGCGACACCGGATTCGATCGAGAACGCGTCAATCGCGTTCCTGGCTCTAATTAACACTACACGACTCGCTTTATTCGTCATTACTGACAGTTGCCCGCGTGTGTAAATTACTCGCAACGACTTTTAAAACCGGCAGAGAAACGATAAAGCGGCAATTTCGACCGACGCAGCTTCCTCACCTTGACGAGTACGAACGTAACTGCGCATGCGCGCACATTATTAGCGCGCCGAGTCATGCGAATCGATCTGAAAGAAACTAGATTCAATTTTAATTCTCGCGTAATGCGTGTATATCCAAATAAATATTTCGCGAAACTTGAGAAATGAAATGAAAAGTCGAAAATGTTAGGTATCTCCTTCTGAATATGATGTACAAAGGAAAATTGTCTTCTTTATAATTATAAATTTTATTGATAGCATCTCGTCAATGTTTAAAAAGTCACGAGATCAGAAAATGTGACAAGAGATGTGACAAAATATGATTATATTATACTGTCCCGTATTCCTGATACGATGAAAATTTATTTACAAACGATAAGAGAAATTTAACTGCACAAATGTAAGATATATCATAATGTGTAGAAACATGAAAAAATAAACTAAAATCGACAATGTGTCTCATTAGTTGTAGGATTTACAAATATGGCCATATTTTGTAAATTTATATATGTATTTATATCTATTTTTATATGTATTTGCTATCTTATCGCATACCTGAATATTTCTTCCTATTAATTGTATTTATTTGAACATCTCTGTTTTATGACTTATTGTTTGTTGCACTTATCGAAGGAACATATTAATACACACACATAATAAATCACTAGAATTACAGCCATCACTTGATAATTGCAACTGTCAAAGTAGCGACATCTTTAATTAACTTCGTAACTAATGCATATACGAGGTCATGTTCAAAAATCTATTGGAATAGAGGTACGTTTGATTGACCAATCAAAAGCAAAGTTTCTTTTGCCCTGATTGGTCAATGATTCCTTTACTTTGATTGGTAGATTTTCGAACACTCTTAAGCGGCCTTTTCATTGACGCTACTTTTTAGCGTCAATGAAATTGCACCTAACAGTTGGCAGCCCTACGAGATAAGCTGCGCAGCACTGCGCGTATATAAAATAAATTTGAAATCGCTTCTAGCCTAACCATCTTCACGCGATCGACTTTATTTGAATTGCACGGCATCGCATCGAATTATGATGCGGCGCCGATTTGTTCGAACGTAATTCGGGACATCGCGATGCTGTATAAGCGTCGAATGAGCACGAATTGTCACGCAAATATGATAAATCATCTACTCACCGTTCACCGGCTGTTCCACAGGCTGCTCCACTCGCTCGCCTCGGGACGTCCCATTCCGATCTTGATGTGCACGATATCATCAACGCGAACACGCGACACTTTATTCGGCACTCCCGATATTCACTCGCATCCGATAATCATCATCAAGGGCGCAAATAACGCGACGCGACTTCGCTCCATCTTCGCGATCGCGCTATCACTGAACTGTGAAAAATAGCTGTCGCGCACTTTCACCGACATATTATGAAAGTCGCGCGATCATCCTTGAACACTTTCGACGCTCTTTCACTCGCGATATTCGTTTAAAAACGGTTAAAAAACGCGAAAAATGCGGACGTACGACGATCCGTGTAACTGCGTATGACTCCGATTCGCGTATGACGTCGCAGTGACGTCACGCGCCAACATGGCGGCCGAACCAGTGCGCACTGGTTCGGCCGCCATGTTGGCGCGTGACTGCTACGTCATACGCGTCATAGTACGTCATACGCGTCATACGTGACTTGGAGTCATACGCAGTTACACGGATCGTCGTACGTCCGCATTTTTCGTGTTTTTTAACCGTTTTTAAACGAATATCGCGAGTGAACGAGCGTCGAAAGTGTCGAAGGATGATCGCGCGACTTTTATAGTGTGTCGATGGAAACGCGCGACAGCGATTTTTGACGACATTCAGTGATGGCGTTATCGCGAAGATGGAGCGAAGTTGCGTCGCATTATTTGCGCCCTTGATGATGATTATCGGATGCGAGCGAATATCGGGAGTGCCGAATAAAGTGTCGCGCGTTCGCGTTGATGATATCGTGTGCATCAAGATCGGAATGGGACGTCCCGATGGCGAACGAGTGGAGCGGCCTGTGGAACAGCCGGTGAACGGTGAGTAGATGTGATTTATCATATTTGCGTGACAATTCGTGCTCATTCGACGCTTATACAGCATCGCGATGTCCCGAATTACGTTCGAACAAATCGGCGCCGCATCATAATTCGATGCGGTGTCGTGCAATTCAAATAAAGTCGATCGCGTGAAGATGGTTAGCTAGAAGCGATTTCAAATTTATTTTATATACGCGCAGTTATATGCTGCACAGCCTATCTCGTAGGGCTGCCAACTGTTAAGGTGCAATTTCATTGACGCTAAAAAGTAGCGTCAATGAAAAGGCCGCTTTACACACTGAAAAAGTTGAAACTATTTGAACTTTATTTTATTGACGCCAAATCTAGAGAAAGTCTAGTGATTTTAATTTGCCGCTGGTTTCTAGCGTCAATGAAATTGCACCTTTAGACTTCTCTCTCTCTCTCTTTCTCTCTCTCTCTCTCTCACTTAAATCGGAGGCATGGCCGCTCTCAGGCTTTTCTCTGATATTACATATGTCGCGTAATAGATTGCCAAGGCAAACGTCGTCACTCCTGTCATTCAGATTTCAAAGATTTTCGAAAACAATTTTTTTATAATCATGTCGCGTCAAATTACGAGCTCGAATAGCAATTTTTACAATGAAAATAAATGCCGTGGGTGTATGAAGGAAGGTGGTAAAATGTTGTCCATGTACGACGACAAAAGTAACAACAAGATTAATTTATCATGTAAACTCGCGGAGCTCACGTCTATTCAGGTAAATAGATTATTTTTAGCGGATATTTGTTTTTGTTTTTAAAATATCAATTTTTTTGTATTTTGAATAAATTTCGCGAGATAAAAATAGTGTACATTTAACCTCTACAATTATTTTTTAACCTCTACAATTATTTTTAATAGGATTGTAAAGCAAAATGAATATTATAACGTATATAAATGCAAATATAGCTATTGAAGCTTAATGTCGCAATATTATAATTAATAATTTGATATAAAATATTGAGTGATTATTTTATAGTTGTGCATTCTGATTGCAAACTAAAATAAAATTTATTATTCTTTAGAAAAGTTGAGTATTGAAAGGAGAAAATATTTATATAGCTGCAAAAACTTGCAACATATGTATTAATAAGATTTTTTTCAACAGATTGACAAATTTGATGGATTACCCAATATGCTCTGTTCTAAGTGTGCTTATCGAACTTATATTTTATATGACTTCAAATTAAAAGTACAAGAATCGGATAAGAAATTCAGGATGATGCTTGAAAATCAAATGAGTAGTATCAAGGTATAATAGTAGAGAATAAAATTAATATTAATATTAATTTGTAATCTCTCTTTCCTCCTTTTCTTTCTTTCTTCTCTCTTTCTCAGTTAAAGTTAGAGCAATCTTATAATAAGAATAAATATAAAATGATTTATGTCATAAATAATAAAATTTAATTTTTTTAACAAGTAAATTTTTTGAACCAACAATTTCTATTAATTTTGGAACATATAAAGATCTTTCTTTAAACATTTTTTGTTGAAAAAGAAATTGTAAATATATTAATGGATTTTTTTAAAATTTGTTTCATATCTTCTATTTTTGCAAGTGTTTATGATTTTTTTTTCAGGAAGAAGAATTCGATATTAAAAATAATGAAGATATCATTGTACAAACAGATGAATCCTTAGAATTGAATATATCAAATGATGATTCTATACACAATGTTGATTTTCTGGAAAATTTAAAGGTTGAAATAAATGAAGCAAGTAACTGCGAGCAACAATGTGAATCTCATATACCTCAATTGCTTGAAAATGGCAAAGAAAATAAAGAAAATAATAATAATCTACAATTGAATGATCTCTTTTATAATATTCTACAAGAAATTAGTGAGAATCAAATAGGCACTCATGTTGTGAAAACAGATATACCTGAAGAAATTTCAAAAATGCTCGAGTCACAAGATATCACAATAATGTATGTACCACATGACTCTACGACCGAATCAATGTATGTAGAAAATACATTAGTGTATGATCAAAAGCAAGAAGAAAATGAAGATGGCAATAATATATCTGTTTCTGAAATGGAAATCTCAAATGAACAAAAAGATGAAATTTCGATCAATGCATGCATTTCCAATTCTATAGAATCTAATGTAACTAAAAAAAATAAACGCGTCTGTTATGAACGTGTGGACGATAAGATGCAAAGCAAAAATAAGCAACTTAACTATAACAAATATAACATTGAGCAATCTGCAAAAACAGAAGACAGTGATGAATCTGATTCTGATTATTTCATCGATGCCAAAGATAACATATTAGGGAGCGTGAACGACGCGATTGTACGAATAAAGGAAGTGAAACAGGAAGATGAAATCGAATATCAATGTACGTTATGCCAGCAGAACTACGAGCAATTACCGCACATCTTATTACATATCGTTGATAATCACGTCTCTAGTACCGGTCCATTCTTTTGCATGGTATGTGAAAAAGATTGCGAGAGTCACCGAGAGCTGCGAGCACACGTGAAAACACACACCGGACGAGATCCGTATTCCTGCTTCATTTGCAAGAAGGGATATTCTAAGAAGAGATATCTGAAAAGACATATGATGTGCCATTCCGACTTTCCGCGTCATCGCTGTTCAAAGTGCGGTTGTCGCTTTAAGACTAAGACAGAACTGGACTCTCATATGAAGACGCATAGTATACCCTACTCTTGCAATCAGTGTACACGTGTATTTAATCACAAAGGCAATTATAAACGACATCTGGTCAGTCATTTGGATCCCCAAGGCCTTTACTTACCTAAGTATCCATGCAGATTTTGTGGCAAGCGCTTTCCTAACAATCGTACTCTGGAAACACATATTCGCGTACATACTGGCGAAAGACCATTCAAGTGTCAATATTGTGAGAAATCATTTTCACAACGAGGTAATCTGATAAATCACACAAGGATACATTCAAATCCACGCAGTTACACATGCGAAGTCTGTGGCAGAAGGTTTGTAATATAAGTATTTGTAATTTCATATAAACTTGAAGGAAGCAAATATAACATTAAAATATTGAGTATAAATCTTTCTTTTATTCTTTGAGAGAAACAAATTGACAAGATATAAATAATATTCAAATCACAATCTAAAAAATATATATAATTAAACTTGACGTTAAAGGATCTTCTTTATAAAAAAATCTGATAAAATATAATTTAAAAAGAATAACAAATGTATTAATATACATTATATGAGATGTTTAATATATTTTAAATAACTTAATCACTTAGTATATTGTATGTATATAAATTTTTAAAAATTAAAAAATTTGAAAATATAATGCAATGTTAATTTTTTTGCTTAATTGTAGCTTCAATCAACGTGCTACATTAAGAGATCATGGATTGTTACATACAGGCGAGAAGCCTCATGTGTGTAATGTTTGTGGCAAGGCGTTTACAGTTAGCGCAGCATTGAGGAGACATATGTTCAATCATGCAGAGAAAAAGCCATTCAAATGCGAAACTTGTGATATGGGATTTGTTGGGAAATACGATCTACGACGACACATGAGAGTACATGGGGATCGATCTAAGGAGAAACGGAAAAGAAATACTACATCAAAGTCAAGCGATTTAATTCAACAAGAATCGGAGAAAAGCCTTGCCGTAATAGAAGAACCGAGCACTGAAACTATATTTATAGAACAAGTATTGTTACCCCAAAATGTTACACAAATAGTGGTAAATCAAGTTGAATCAGAGAAAGAAAATGAAGACGCATTGTTCAATCTTCACTGTTACAATTCAACTCTTGTACAATACAGTTAATAATGTGCATAATAGATTGTAGATTATACAGGATGAATCATTTGAATAAAATGAGATATTTTTATTTTGAATAACTAAAATATGTATATTTGTATAAAAGAAGTTCTATACAAAAGTTATAAAATTGGTCCTTTTTTTATACAGAATGATGAGAAAAAGTTTTGATATATATATATATATATATATATATATATATATATATATATATATATATAAAGACATCTTGTATCATTTAATGCGATAAAGATAATTTTTCTCAACATGAATCTGGATAGTGTTTTAAATGTGCTGACTGAGAATTGATCCTTTTTAATTAATGTAACCTTCGTAAAATATTTTTTTGTGTATACTTTAAATGTTATTCGAAATAAAAATATAGAAACAGTGATATATATCCTGTATAATAAGAATTGCTACCATTAACTATTCTTGTTTTATTTTTGTATACATATGTACAATCATTTCCTTTCCTTCTTAAAATCATTTTATCTGTTACAACAGTAGAAGTTACACAACTTTATTAAGATACTTCCTTTATTTACTTTTATTTGAAAGGTATAATTAATTAATGCATATGTATAGATGCATAAATATGTATAAATGCATAAAAGAGAGTATATTGCATTTTTGAAATTATAAAATTTTTGCATTTCTACAAATCTTTAAATTAGAAATAATTGTACGATATTTGACACAAATTTTATGTGTTAATCAAAATGTTTGGTAAATTTTTTTAAATAATTTTTTTCTAAAAATTATAATTTAAGGATAGTATTGTTGTGTACACAAATGTATTATTTTCATAATTTGGAAACCTATGTTTTATATTTTTTAGAAAATTTTAAAAATATTCTACAACTTTTAAGATTTCAAAAGTTTTACACATTTATTTAGTGATATGAATAAACAATCGTGGCATATTAATAAATTTATAATATGAATAAATTTATGAAACAATATTTGTAAAAAAAAATTTATACGTATTTTTATATATTTATCATGATTATATTATTTAATCAAAAACTTCTACTAACAAAATAGAATTACTATTACTACTAAGTAATATTATCTACTATTATTAATAATTATTATTAGTGTAGTAGTAATTAGTATAATTGCTATTATAATTATTGTTAATAGTCATTTTATTTATCTACTAAGTAAAATTACTATTAATAATATTAATATAATAATAATAATAATAATAAATGTATATATCTACATTTTCCATTCTCTTTCTTTTCTTTTTAAAAGCTTTTAGAAATCTAAAAATATTGTGATAGTATTTAATACTTTGGAATTTAATTCAAAAATTGTTTTACCTATTTAAAGAAATGAAGAAATAATTACATAAATATTATTATTGTAAAATAAAATATAAGTAAATTAAATATATACTTATCAGTAACTGGATATTTAATCCACTGTAAATTGCAAATGTGTAGACTTTTTTTGTTAATTTTACACATCTTAATACATTTATTATTATTAAAATATAATTTTGATCAATTTTCCATTACACATTCCTAAACATAAAATTGTACTTTAATGCTTTTTTGTTACAACAATGCATAATTTATATTTATGTTATAATAGTTTTGTAAAAATTCAATATATTACACAATCTTTTAATTGTCACAAAATAATTGATAGTTATAAAAATTATTTCCTCGTACATTGATAGAACGAAATTTTATATAAGAGAGATAACGTACATATGTTAGAACATGCATGAAAATTTAAAAATTTAAATTAAAATATTTACATTTTTTTTATTAAATAATATTTTTATATAAAGCGATAACAGATCAAATAATTAATTATTATAATAGCAGCTTTTAATTATTTTGAAAATTACACTTGTTATGCAAACTACTTAAAATTATATATATTCTTTATAATTGTTATATATATGTATAATATAATTGCGATCTTTCAATATTATTAATACATATATTATTGTATAGATTATCGATTATAAAGAAAGATATTTCTGCTTTTCGATCACAGAGAGCACCACGAATGCTATTTCACGACTAGAACTAGATAATTTTTAGGACGATAATATTGTGTACGAATGATAAAAAGAAAAATTTACACAGTTTATATGATTATAATTTTGAAGTGATTATAAATAAGATTGTCTTTCGCAATTATATTTAAATGAAAATATCATGAAGATTGATTATTATATATTACTCTGCAACTTATTAATTGTAACTATATTATTAATGTATAAATGTTGATTTAGTTTGTGTTTTAACAATAATTTGTTAATTTTTTTATGTGTGTGTGTGTGTGTCAAATATTATTTATTCTTTATAACCAATTGAACAAATAACAATAATTTTTAAATCTTCCAACAGATGACGCAGCTAGTCTATGAGAATCTATAGAAAAAAGTTATGGCTTTTTTTCGCAGTGTTTATGTACGCAATGTATTTCGACATGTTAATTAATAACTGTTAGTAATGGCTCAAATATTGTTGTGATTAGTTTGCAGGTAAATTTTCGGCAATTATTCTATAGTTTCGAAATATGATCTCGAAGCTGTACATGGACTTATTAGTTAGTAATATTAGACAGCAATTCAATTAATTTTCGATATATATGTTAGTGTGTTAATATGCATACGGGAAACTCAAATAGGTTTCAAACACACACGCATACATATATATTATTGCATAAACTAAAAACTTGAGTATTGATTATAAGCATTAATTAATTCGGAGTCAATTATTCTTGATAATTTTTTAGTCAGACAAAAATATTTCTTATATATAAACTTGCTTGAATTAATATATTATTCTAAATTATGAACTTAATGCATCTTAACATTAATTTTATCTTCTATTTCTTTTACATACAATTGCTTCTATTTTAAACAACATATTCTTCCTTTCAATCTAAGCTAAATTTATTTTACTTTATATTGAAATTTTGAAATATTCATAGATCTAACAAAAAACTACTTTCTATTACAAAAAACTAATGCAACATTTAGATCGCGTTCATTGTTTATATATGAGAAAATCTAATATAATCAATCATATAAGTAAATATAATGTATGTATAGTTGTTAAATTATTGAATTTTTGCAGCATGTGTATTTCAACCTTAAAAGCAAGCGAAAGAAACAAGGAAACAACATGCATGAGGATTTGGCTCAAGAGGCAGAATTAGAACGCGTTAAACGCCGTCGAAATAACTGCGAGAGAAGCGACAAGGACACTGCTGCTGGCTGCGCGTCCCGTGCGCGATTGAGCCTCCTGAAGAGAGTCGCGCGTGGCTGCGCAGTACGCGACTGCGCAGGTCACGCGTGCGCGCCATCGGGCAGCCGGCAGTCCCTACGGTGGCGCCAGCCATGGCGGCGAAAACACACGCGCACGCTGTTACCACCGCCGCCGCCGCCGGTCGGTGCCTCCACGCCTCTACCTCCTCGCCTCCGCCACCGCCACCGCCACCGATCTCGCGACTCGTGGGTAAGTACCCTCACACTCCACGCTCCAATCAGTCTGCACTCGCATGTCCACGAGGTTGCTCGCACGGGCCAGGCGGCATCCTCTCTCTCCCTCTCTTTCGCTTCGCCCGCTCGTATTCTCTGTTCTGTCATTCTCTGTCTCGCTCTACTTCCCCCCCCTCTTCTCTCTCTTTCTCACGCTCCTTTTCACCGTCTATCGTTGCCTCTCTCTCGCTCTTTCATTCACCTGACTCTTAACGCGAGCAGTGCGTTACACATCCCGTACGGGGGTGATACCGATCGCCAGTCGAGGTACTGATCGCGGACATCGCAGCCGCGGTTGAGGTTAGGTCGACGGACCTGTCGATCCTAGTGGCGGGACGCGGCGCGGCGGATTTGAATTTTCGAACGCGCCGTGTTGTCGTACAACGTGGATTGTACCGGGTGTCGCGCGTCGAATTTCGCGAGCGAACGGCTCGGCGTTTCCCTGCTCGGGCAATTGCGCGGGTTTTTGTGACTCCGTCGTCCGTTGACAGATCGACAGACGTTGCGCACGCCTGCCAGGTTAGGTGGAGCGACGTTAGGCGGGCCGCGTGTTTTTCGAAACAGCGGGAACGCTTTTGGGAGGATGATGCACCGCGAGTTCTCGTCGCCGCCCACGTCGTCCTTGATGTTATCGTTACCGTCGAAGCTGTCGCACTCGCGTCACGTGGAAACGCGCAGCGACGGAGACGAGCAGCGGGCCCTGTGAGATTCTGTGAATGTTCTCGGACAGCCGCTCGCCGCGGCTCGCCGCGCACCAGTTTCTCAGTGCACACGAGGAAAACGTACGAGAAAACGCACTGGTGATCAACATGTCCTTTCTGCCCTTGGAAGCGTCGCGTGTCCTCGAGTCTTCCCCGTTAAATCGCGTCGAATTCGATGAGGAGAACGTCGTGAACGTTTGAATTTGCAAAAAGAAACATTCTAAAAGTGAATGCGATCACTCGAAATAATCGTCTTGGAGCACAAATGTCGTGGCAAGAGTGTCGCGTATTAATAGTGATGAGAATTGATAATTTTCGTATAAAAGAAATGGATTTTATTACATATATAAAGCATTATAATGAAATTGACTTGAATTGCGATGAGGACATCGTCGGTTGGATAAAAATATTTTTGCATTCGATATATTATCGAAACTTTTATACTCGGTTACACTAATTTTTTAATAGTCAGTCGTATTAAATCTTTAGATTTTTGATACACTTCTTAAATTGACAGCTAATCCGATCAGCTGATCAACGATTGACAAGAGATATGTGTTTGTGCTGTAAAGTATGTAAAATTTTGTGTAATATGTAATCATATATTTATATATATATATTGAGTTTTTATTGTGCATAATTGTTATGTAATGGTTTGATGATTCAGAAATATAAATATGCAAACATATAACGTAATACGTTTTGTCAGAAGCACGAAATTTTGCACAAGTATCGTATAAGCGCGTTTCAATACTCGGAGAAGATAAAAGGATATACGCGAAATCTGTTTGGCTAAAATAACATTTTCAATTAGTAGTTATCGATTATCTTTATCATACACATGTAAAGCGATAAGATACTCGATATTAATTCATTATTTACATACTTTTAATACTTGGACCATGCAATATTGCCAATAGATTGATAAAGATTGTATTTGCAATGTATTCTAATTTCGAAATTTGCACAATAAAAATAAACCGAGCAAAACAATCAAGAAATTAGTATCTTTTGTCGATCGTACACATAATTCAACTTGATTGCTAGTCTGAAAATAAATATTTACGTACACATAGTCCTATTGACATATTCACCGTTTATCATTTACTGCTGTTTGTCATACGCGGTCTTTTCTATCGGCCAACAATCGCTCGATCGCACGCCACAAAAGAGAAGGTGGCCTGGCATCGATCGCAATTACTCGGGGATCAAATTCGATAGCTTTCTGATTGAAAGGTTAGAAGTAGCAGAAATTGTTGGCGGATCGACACTCGACCCAACACCGGTGATTAATTGACAATCGCGATAATTAATGATACACGGTATACCGCGATCTCATGCCACGACACACTGTGTTCCATTAAATTGCGTTTTGTGAAAGAAAATATCGAGTGAGCGGATTCGCTTGTTCATTTTTGGAAAATAATCGTTATATTCGAAATTGTTGAATATTTCCGCTATTTTATAGTTTAAGCATTTTAATTGCTCATTTTTGCGCACTTTAATTGGAATTTTTGTTATGTTTAAACAATAATGAAAATATTCAAAGTTAGGAAGAGATATAGATTTTTTTTAACGGCGAAGAATTCAAAACCCCCAAAATTTCAATATAGATTATAGAATGTTAATAATGTAATATGCCAGATATCCAGAGAATTTTTAATGACTTATGACTTAGATTACATAATTTAATTATGATAATTAGATTTTTCTAATAATTTTATAAAAGTTAATTTTTTGCAATAGTGGCACATATCCTAAAATTTAGGAAATTTTATTAGATTTCATAGAGATATATTTTTTTACACATTCAGAATATAATCTATGTAAGAGAAGCAAGCTATAATGAATTATATATACGAGTAGATTATTTGTAAACGTTAATTATTGATCTCTACTTTGCTATTCTACATTTAATTAAATTGGTTTTGTGTACAAAGTGAAATCAAATAAGACCATAATTTTATTTCGTTCAGGAAACACGACGTAATTCTCATCGATGTAATTAATGTGCCACGACGTAATTCTCATTGACGAGCGAGCTAATCTATCGAATTCACTTCTCGATCGGTGATTTCTGTCTCTACCGTATTTTACGCTTAAATGATAAAATTCGCATTATTGCATTTTCGATAGGTTCAAATTTATAAAAAAGAAAGAATAAAAATTAATAGATTTAAGGAAATTTAGAATGCAAATTTATACGTATGAAAAACTCGCTTATGTCTTTTGAAAATAAAATAAAATTGTGAATAATAATGTTAATATTGTACATGAGTTTGCTAAATGCACTTTGCATTACTTTGCAATTATTCCGCATATTAATTAATATTTTTTCCTAATAATTAAAAACTAGCTATTAATCTTTTATATTTTATTAGAAATTAAAATGATTTAATAATTATCGATGTTAAGACATCGATCAAGCAAAAGAGATGCATTTAAGCTTTCGAAGATGTATAAGATTTTATGTTTTATGAAGCTTGAAAAATAATAATATGGTCTTCATCAAATGCATACAAAGAAATTAAGTTACATTAAAATGACATGCAACAAAATAAAAATTGAGAAGAAAGGAAAATTTACTGATCGAGAAGCATAAAAAAAATCGCAAACGTTAAATAGTCTATTCATAATCGTATCGTCATAATTATAAAAATCACGATTAGCTCGATTAATTTATGAGTCCAATTAATAGTCAATAACTAATTAATCGATGCAAACATGAAGCGTCTCGATTATTGTCTTTTTTTGGTTACGCTTCCAAGACTTACAACTAGTTTATGCGAAATTCTCTTCGAGTTTCTCGCGTCATCGACCGAATATTTAGAAACGATTAACCGGCAAGGTACAGGTAGAGAGAAGAAAACGACGATATATGTTTTAGATGGATAATTCTGCGTACGTACCGAATCACCTACCGCCGCCGTCTCTGGTCGTATTCTCGCAGGCCGGAGGGCTACCTGAGGCCCTGAGAATGCAAAGACCCTTCAATCCACAAGTTAGTGTCCCATTGTCCTTACCCTTACGCCTAAGCTTCCGCATCAGTTTTGCTCTGATACTTTACATTGCATTTCCTTTGGCTGCAACAAAACGCATTGAAACGTTAATTCAAGTCTTCCAAATACAGATTTTGATTTTCTCTGAAATTCTCGTATTATCGTAAGAAACTGTAATTTTGTGTGATCATCCGAAATCATACAGGTCATATTTAATATTTATTACATCATAAATTATGTAACGTAGATGTTACATAAATATACTACTGAAAAAATTATTCGAATTCGTATAATTCTTAAGTACGTTGCAGCCAATGGGAATTTATTGGAGAATGTAGAGAGTAAAATTATTTTCACGCTTGTATCGTATGCAACGAAACTGCACTGCGGTAATTCGAGTGTATCGTATTTGACGCGAACACGCATGTCACTATTTGGCAGAAAAACAACACTCTTGAAAAATATGTATAAAATAAAAAAATAATTGTTAACATTGATTTCAACAAACGCGTCAGATAGCTCGAATTGCCTCTACCTCCGCTTTTGCATGTCTGTATCGTTCTATCCATCGTTTTATGCAAGTAAATTATGTATTAATTAATATAATGATATAAATAGTGCAATGAATAGAAACTTAGTTATATATAAATGTAAATGTGTTTGTAAATAACAAATAATGTTAAATCAGTGATGCACAATCTTCCTTTTACTTATTCCTTTTAAGGAGAGTTTGCGTTTAAAGATAATATAATTATAAAAAAGAGAGAATCTCTAATTAAGAAAGATAAAAATTCAAATCTAAAACTTACAATATACTTATTAAATGTGAGCTTGTTTCTATTTAAAAAAATTAGAAATACAAAAGTATGTAAATGTATTTTATCTTTTGATTGCGAAGAAAAATGTGTAGATTGTGCATCATGATACATATGACATTACATAACATAGCACTAAAAAAATTAAATTTATATTAAGAGATACAGTAAGTATTTTCATGGGTAAAACCGGCGATACAGCTAAATTTATTAATAGTTAGAAATATTGTTTGTGGGATATAATTGTGAATTATTGATTAATTTTAGAAGAATGAATTATTAATAAAAATTACTCCATATATATATTCTGGTAGTAAAGTATATTACACGAAAATATGAATTCGCGGATTAAGTTTTTTTCGCAAGTGTGATTTAAAAATAAATTTTATATACTACAATCAAAAACGTATCGATAACGTGAATTAACGGGAAATATTATTATTAAAAACTCCCGATAATAACGAAACTCTTTTACGATTTTATATATCGCACACATCTTTATCTCGTAACCGTGATTGCCGCAAACATTTAACGAATGGGCATCGCGGTTAATTATAAGCGTATTCCGCAGTGTTTTTAAACGCTTGAATATTTTTTATACGTGCGGAACATCAATCGGGCCCGGGATAAAACACGTGCGGATGCGGAACGGTAGATACGGTGGATAGAAAGCAGTTGAACGAGGATGATAGCGAGATAACCGGTCGCATCAAAATTCAGCATCGTTAAAAAATGAGATAATTTCGGGGCGAACCTAATTGCGATGGCACGGTGACAAAATACGCTCGTGTTTTGCCGCCCGCGGGGACGAGGGAGGGGGGGGGGAGAAAAAATATGATAAAAGATTATTGCAAATATGCAAGCGACGCGCGTCGCGTCGCGCTGCGAAAAAAGGGCGGGGGGCCGCAATTAAAATAATAATGAATATCTAATAAATCACTGATTGGACCGCGGGCGCGTATACATGTCGGGTCGTCGAACACGAACCTCATTTCCCCGGTATAAAAGAATAATAAACTAATCGCGGCGCGTACTAATACCCGGCGCGTGTAACTCATCGCCCGCGTCATTATCGGCCGAATGAAATGTTTATCCGGAAACTGCGGTTGTCCATTCTCGCCGATGAAATCATTTCGTACTTCCGTTTCGCTCCCTTAGTCGCGCGGTTTATACCGGCCGGTAACGCGTTTCACACTTTGCGTTTCACGCGAGTCGAATCTGCCTGTCTCTATAACAATTTTATTTTATTTTTAAATAAAGAAATTTTTTATTTTATTTTTAAATAAAAAAAAATATTTTCAGAAAACACCGCATATGAATGGTAAAAAAATATTTTTTGATTTCGAAAAATAATTTTCTCGCTACTTATGAAATATATGATGTTGCTTCGTGACATATGTACTCGTGCCGGTAGTTAACGTTGAAATGCTCGCATCGCGTTCCCCGAGAAGTCGATGCACAGAGGGAACAACGCACCGTTATTACTTCAGTTACGTTTAATAACGGTTCGATAATTCTGGCATTATAAATGTTACAAAACCCAATGCGTAGATGCTTTAACCGAGCATTCAGTATGCGGCTTAATAGACTCGTCAATCACGGCGAATTGAATGATACAACTGACATACGGGGATGGAAAGGAGGAGGGAATCATGGGATATGGGGGGGGGGAAGAGCTTCAGGTTTTGACGGATTATTATAACACAGTGGTTTCGCGTTATTAACAGTATACCACGCTGCTTTGATATTATATGCCATTCAGACGTATCTGAAAGCACGGAAATATCCACATGCTGTAAATGAGCTATCTAGTTACGCGTTTCAAACATTTTTCCATTTATCGCGTATACAGGATGAACTTGTACTGTCGAATTCGATAATGCGAGCGTAGTTTCTCAAAATGGAAGTGAACATCAGGAGTCTGTAAACATCAATGGACCAGTACAATTAAAAGGAAATTAAATGTTAAGAGATATAAAAAATTTGTAATTGGTATCTGAATCGATTATAAAATTATAAAACTTAATACTGGATAAAATATAAGAAATATCTATACGATTAAAACAAGAAACCACGTACGAATTTTTAATATTTAAGAAGCGAAAGAAGACTAGGAACCAAAAACGCAAGTAATGGTGTGTGATATTAATAATATATTATAGTGAAAATTTTGTAAAGTTATATTTATCTTACATACAATAAGAAACGCAAAAATATGTATATGTTTAAAATGTACTGTCGACGACGTTCCGACCCCGCCTCTAGGTCCTTTTCAAAGTCAAATAGAAAAAGTTGCTTCAGTTGTTTTAATAATATTATGTTTTTCTACATTTTTTTTCTATTTAACTTAGCCTTCCTTTGCCCTAGCCTTCTTATTTGATTTGTATCACATTTGAACCATTTTACATTTTTATATTTTTATTTTTTCAATATTTAAATATAAATATAAATATATATATATATGATATTTAATATAAATTATGTCAATAAGTAAATGCCACCTAAATCTATTTCTATAATTATTTAATAATCTGGAAAAATATATAAATTCATATATATAGTTTATGTCGATAAAAAATTTTAATTTCCATATATACTTTTTATCTATCCGCCAATATTCCACAAACATTAATTAAAAACTATTGAGAATTATTTAATCATGGAAAAGCTTATAATCTTCTCTCTTTATAAAATATATTAGTGAAAGAAACACATGAATTGTAATAATTATTACGACTCATGTGTTTCCTTTACTAACCCTTATAAAGCTTTTGTGATTCGAAGATAAAAAATTAAGCTGTATATAAATATTTAATATGTGGGCATTTTTATTAACATCCAAATGTCAGAACTAGCATTGTTTAACTAACAAAATAATAGAGCTCGAGAAGCAAATAACAAACGATTTTAATAAGGAAAATTTTAAAGATCACAAGAATAGTACAAAATTAATATCGTGTAAATTATAAAATTTATTAAAATTCTCATGTGTGCGTTCAACTTTTCAACCTAATATATTGTACATACATATGTTGTTTACTCCTCGAATTTGTCTATTATTCTGTTTACTTTCACGTATACATTGGAACGTTTTTTTTTTAAATTCTTTATTTCGATCCTTTATTAATTTTATATTTCTCGCGCTTGTTTCAGGTGACCGATTCGAAGGACTTACAGGTGCCCTTCAGTACGGCGGCGTCGCTGGGCTACGGGCTGCATCACATGCTGCATCTGCCACCGCAGTTCCTGCACCCGCTCGACCATAGACTACCCTTCGGCGGCTTCCGGCCCCTGGTGCCGTCCGCGTTCGCGCCCCCCAGCAAGTGCCTCAAGGTCGAGACCGGGAACGGCGCGGTGCCGGGGAACGGCGGCCTGCCCAGCATCGGCTCGCTCTCGAGCATGTCGAACATGTTCTCGCCCACGTCCCTGCCGGGCGCGGGCGGGGGCGCGGTGGTGTCCGTTTCCGGTGCGGCGGCCGCCGCGGCCGCCGCCGTCGCCGCGGCCGGCCAGGAAGTCGGCGGGCCGCAGAGCCCAGCTGGTTCCGCGAGTCGGTCGCCCACCGGTACCGCCGGAACTGGTTCCGTGCCGAACCGCGGTGCAACCCCCGATGAAGAGGATCGTGATGCCAACGCCACACCCGGGTCCGAGAACACCGAGCGATCCACCCCCGAGGAGGGACGACCCTACAGACGTGAGTGACTCTGATGAATGATCCTTGTGCACGTTTTTCGCCTTTCTTTTTGAGGGATTAATGATCGACGCAATGATGCTTTGTACAATCTAACGATAAGCCATATTATGATTTTTAATTAATGTTTAATTAATTAATAACTTAAATTATTCTATTATATATAATATGCCATCTGATGCTTGATTATTTTTGTCGATCATTTATCCATTTTTTAGTGTCTAAAATATTAATATCCATCATGCACGGCATTACTCGCGTTAAAATATTAACGAAACGTCGTTCGAGGAGATGTTAGAATATCCTCGAGATATTTATATTAGAAAGTTTCAATGATAATCGTAATTTCCAAGATACTATACGGATTTTAAACATTCTACCCGCTGAATAAACTCGACGCCGTATCTAAAATTTTCGAAACATACGTCGGGTATATATCTTGGGAGATAAGCGTGCAAGAGTACAATCTTTCTCGAATCGCCGGCGCTCGGGGTATACGCTCCGTATATTTTTTCACGTTGACCCGGACATACGGGCGGGTTAAGGCCGGTTACACGACGAGCCGAGTCGTCGAGATTTGTATGCTTAATCTACCTAAGTCGTTTATTTGAGCCCCTGGCGACGTAACAGCTGCACCACGGACAGTCCGGAAAACGCGCGGAAAGACCACCCTCTTGTCCTCTCTCTTTCCGCCGCGCGTTTGTTTATTTTCCTTTGCTATCTTAATTGCCGAAAGATAGAGCCATCCATTTTTCCCTCGGCGGCGACGTCGCCGCCCGCTGTTTTTTATTCTTTCTCCGGACTTCGAACACCGGGATAAACTATTATTTATAAATAACATAAATTATAAATAACTTTACGGCTGAGCATTAAATATAGGGAGTTTCGGAATAGTTTATACATATTTTACAATAATTATTATTACAAGAAAAGTATAGTATTCTTTATAATCTTGAACAAAATGGTTGGTATTTCTTGTACTTAGAATTTGGAATTATCTCTGATTTCTCATTTTGATCACAAATGACAGATAAACAATACATATATTTCTTTTTCTTCTCTCTCTTCCCTTTAAAAAGAATCAGGCCGCGCGTTAAGCATCTTTGTGATGAAATTTTATACATTTCTGGCTCCTCTCTGTGCAAATTAACCGTCGGCGAAAAAGCGCGCCGAATGGTCAGTTCGCTCTCTTTTCATCGGCTAATTTTCGTTTGATTGCGAAAGAGAAAAGGGGTTGGAGACACACGGAGAATCTCTCTCCCTACGGCTCCGTTTTTCCTTTTCTTTTTTTCTTATTTTCGCGTATCCCTCGACGCGGAGATAACGACGCCCTTTGACCGCTTCATGTCGACGTTAGCACGTTGCTAATTAGTCGATACCGACTTTGTGGCGATACACGCCGTATTGCGTCGCGCAGCAGGAAATAGTCATTGCGGAAAATTACTCGTGTAATTGCGAAAAGTCAATTTTAATTACGGAAATTATTGCGCGCGCGAATGCTGTATCTCGCGTGCCGATTTCTTTTTATATAAAAAAAAAAAAAAAACGTAGCTTTATTGAAATTTCTTGAAGAGTCAACAATCGCTTCCGCGCTGATTATTCTGTGTTTCATGTTTTATAAAACGAGATCCATGATAATTGTTAAATCTCTTTTCATTTCGAAGCTCTTTCGATGCGCCATTTATCGCCATCGCCGCGAATCGGTGCCGGATACATTATTAACATATTGTTTGATATATCTCGAATGTCGACGCTATTATGCGAATTGGCCGCGCATACCTATTTTATACTCCACATAGTGCGGTATTTTCATTACACACTCGCGCCCTTTTTGAGCGGCTTCGTGAACGACGCGTATAACGTGAGACGCGGTTGACATACGCTCGCGCACCCGTGCTTCATCGCTATTTATGGCAAATAACCATACGCGACTGTATCGTGCAATTTACATTGCGTTTATTTGACTCTAATGGCGCGGCAAAAATATCGAGTTAATATTGACTCGCGTTTGTAACGCGCGTGTGTTTGACTGCGTCCACAAGTTGCTATAATCGACTATCATCGTTTCAATAATGATTATCGTTTCGGAATTTTATTATTAGGTAGACACACGATACACATTTCTACGAGATAAAATCTTTTCACAATTGTGATGATTATTAAAGATACGAAATCGTAATTCTTCTTTTTTTTCCATAATAGATACATTGTTTTCCTTTATACGAAAATACGTTTCATCGAAGGGGCATTTTTATTCATCAATTTGATTATTTTAAGGCATGACAAGTTCCATAATCGCTCGTTAGTAATAAACACAGTTTGAACTGCCGGCAACTTTCGACCGAAGGTCGAAATAAAATCGCCCAGCAAATCCGTTCGTAATCAGTTCGCCGGTGTGGAGAATACAGGTGGACAAGTAATATGTGTATTGTATCGGTCGTGCTCGCATCACTCCCGCGAACGTATGTACAGTCGTTCTATCGAGGGAGGGATATGCGGTGTTTGGCTCGCAGCCGGGGGTTGGAGTGTGCAATCGTACCGTTTGGCAGCCTGTTTGAATGTTTTGCGACGAGTTTATTCGAGTTATCAATTTCCTGGCAAATATCTGTATTTCCGCGCACCCATGTTTTCCTTCCCTCCTCTCTTCTCATTCCCCTGTCATTCTCCGTTCCTCTCGTTCGCACCTACGGCAGCATCGCACAATTGCAGTTTTGTCAAAGATGCAAATCGAACCGCGCAAAAGAATCAACATGTAACATGTAGCGAGTGAGGAAAAAAAAAAAGAGAGAACGCGTCTCCTTATATTTGTATATTTGTAGATCGATTTCGTTAGATTTTTTGTACATAATATCGGACATATTTTACGAAATAAATGGGAATATAATTTGAAACGTCATACGTGAAAAATAATATGTAACAGAAAAAATTGATTGATTTTTTTTTTATATACATATTTAGATATTATTGTAATAACTCTGAGATGAACCATCGCGCGCATTCGGAAAATGCCGTACAAATATAATTTTTTTCTCGCTGTGTTTTATTTTATGTTTTTTTATATTGTTATTGCCGTTTTTAATTACATTTCGGAATTTGCAATCTTTACATGGCGTCACCCCAAAATTGCACGCGTATCAAATGGATACGTAATGTGAAAAGTTACGGAACAAAGTCCAAAAGGTATAAAGGGTCATCAAAAATCATTGATAATTTCGAAAATAAAAAAAATATAAAATATATATATATATATATATACATATATATATATATATATACACATATATATCAGGGTTTGTTTTCAACATACGCGGTCGTTTTAAAAAGGCACTTATTCACGTAAAAGCGCATGATGCATCATAGGGGCGCGACACACGAATGGTCGAAGGGCCGCGCTTGTATTAGCGCGTTATCCGCGCGTGTATTTTTTTACGCGCGCATAAATATGCGGTAGTAATATAACATAGGAATGCCGCGCTCGTGTCTCGACGAGGGATGACGGTCATGAAATGGCGAACGTAAACCGGAAGTGCCGTGATTTTTAACCCGCCGCGAATGTATGACATCGTTTTTTCGGTTTTGCATATTTACGTTCGCGCAATTTTTCGCGAATCATTTTCGCACACGCCGCTCGATTCGTCCACGTAATAAAAATTCAAAATAGAGATCCTTCAAGCAAAGCGCAAAGTTGCTTACATGGCTTATTTGTTAATATTATATTTCTGAGTTCGAGAAAAATTTATACCTGCGATTTTATAGTATTATATGCATGTATATGGCAGTGAGAAGGAATGAAGAAGCTAATGATAAAATCTTAGAACATGAAAAATTAATTAATATTGAAGTATACGACACTTGTAAAGGAGAGCTTCTTTCATCCTTTTATATATAAATAATAAAATAAAATAAAAAATCAGAATGTGATATTCCGCAGTAAGCGTATGCGTAAGCGAATGCATTGCTATCAGCGAAAAATTAAAAAAATGATGAAAGCATCAAGAGGGTTAATACATGCAACGGGACGCTGCATCGTGCATTGCGTAAATTATTGCTTCTTAGGAAAATAGTTAGCATAGCGACCATTACGACTCTGTCGTACGTCACGGGTAAAAGCCCGTATAAACGTCAGTTACGTCAATCATTCTTTAATAGGAATGAATTTTCACCGACCGCCACTAAATCACTATTGGCCAATAACGTTTATCGTTAACGAAACATCGCGTACGTCGCTGGTACTGAATTGATGTACCACTTCGCCAATGAGATATAGTATAAATACTCGCAGACGTGATGCTGCAACTATGTTAAGCAATCGAGCGAACGGGATAAAATCGAATTTGCGTGTAACGTGCGTAATTGCTATAGCAGTAAATCGATTGAAAATTAATGTCCCTTCGGTTTATCTATTAGAATCTAATAATTAGATAACAACAATAGAAAATTATATAATTCTTTTACGCGGAAGATGTTTTTACGATGAGATATTTCAGACACCATTTCATTTTGTTTGATTTTAAAACAATATATTTTATACATAAAATGGTATAAAGGAAAAACAATTTTCGTCGTAAAATTAAACGTGGCTATATTATTAATATTAATATTATATTGTATTTTGAGGTTCAATATTAATTTAATTTCAATTTACATAATTTATAAATATTATGAGGGTTTTTTTTAGGTATCATTTTTCTCAGATTCTATCTTTGGATTATTATTACTAATAAATTATTAAAATATAGTGTATATAGATGACGATTATTAAAATATAATGTATATAGATGACGATTATTAAAATATAGGATATAGATGACTTTATCGTACTTTTTAAAACAATTACAGTATTTTCAAGGATGTTCCCTTCTCGCAAATGAGTGATGCTCGAACACATTCGCCAATGTGTGCGTAGAAGTTTCCCCTCATTTGTATTCTTAGAGCGAGCCGCGAGCTGGCACCCACGATTTACTATCACGTCGTACGAATTATTTAGTAATCAAATTTCGCCC